ATGATGCCCAACATTTACTCCGTATGGTCACCTTTCTTCCAATTTGGGGTGGGTTAATCTCCAACACCCAGAGATAATCTAAAATTTATGTTATTCTGGATGTTGGAAATAACTAAAGGAAATACTTGAGAACAATCCAATATCGAAAACCCAGGGTTCAGCGAATTTCAAAAGTAGTTAAAAAATAGGCAAATTTTGAAGGCTTCGAACGCAAATTCAAGATTAAAAAAAATGCTACTGTCTTAGTAGTGACCCATTAAACCTAGCGATCTATTCGGTTTAACCGAATTCGATTTTATACTTAATTTAAATGTATATCGCAAAACCGGGAAAACTAGGAAATTGTAAATCGAGATTTGCTGGTCACCACGAGTTTGTAGAAATGCAGCGAAATTAAAAAGAATTCTGAGAATTTTGTAGAAGTGAAGCAAACATTTCAAAGAACAGCGTAAAACTTCATGGAAATGTAGAGATTTATTTAAGTTCAAGAAACTTCGTAGAAGTTCAGCCGAAATTGTAGAAGCTCAGCGAACTTCGTAGAATTTAAGAGAATTTTCAGCATCATTTGAGATTGGATTTGATTTGGGATTTTAGTGGAAGTTCTGGGATTTTTGTTTCCCCCAGCTGTTTAAGAAAATTTGTAGAGGTCTTTCCTAAAGTTTGGAAAGAAGGTCATGACTGTTTTGAGATTTTGGTCAAATTGTAGGATAAATCAGCTGAAGTCACTGTTAGGATCAACTAAATATTAAATAAATGTCTTAGGGAAAGCCGGAGACTACAAAATCTCTTGTCCAGATTGCAATAAACTCTACATTGGTCAGACGAAAAGGACTTTGGAAACAAGGTTTAAGGAACACATCGCAGAGGTAAAAAAGGCTAACAAAGAGATGGATAAAGGACTTCATTATGAATTTAAATCCAAGGTTGCAGAACATATCGTTACAAAGGGGCAAAATTTGACTAAGGAAAACATTAATATCCTGCGGACTGTATCTTCGCCTTGGAAACTAGACGTAGCTGAAAGTTTAGAAATATTTAAACATAATCCATCAACATTGCTTTAGAGATCAAGGAAACGGATACTCGAGACTCTTTAGCATGCTACCTAAAACAACACATCGTAGCATGCCTCTACCTGTTGGAGACTGAATTTAGGTACCTGGTTAGGTAAATTTTGACATGGCAGTGGATAACTGCTGATTTTTAGTACCTATTGATTAGTATATAACTCGTAGATAAAAGATGGATTCTTCAGTGGTGTTGAGTACTTGGCACTGATGTAGTCTGCAAGTAGTAGACGAAATACGCGTATCTGTCAAAAGATAAGCAATTATAACGGAATTTAAAGGAAATAAACTAACCCACTCAAAGCTCTTCATAAAGGGATTCCGTTAAGAGGTTCGACAAATTAAAAGGATTAAAACAGTTATCAATCCCTCCTTAAAACTGTTCTGTAATTCAAGCATAAACGTCATTAGCAATTGTTCATTAATGTCTTGATAAAATACTTTATAAACGGGTTCTATCATTATAAAAGCAACCATAAAACAATTAGGTTTTGCATTAGAGGCAAAAAGTATTTATTGTTGCTTTTTAGGCTTTTTAAAGTGCATCATTAACTCCTTAATAACTCCCCAATTACTCTGTTTACAAATTGAGCTTAAAAGATGGTCCCTCATAGTTAATAAATGCCAAATTTATGACACGGAAATCTCGAACAAAAAATAAATAAAATAAAACACATTTTTAAGCATTCTACCATCTGCCACTCTCCACGAGGTTTTAGGACATATTTTTAGCTTTATTCAAGAAAATCAACGTTTATTTTTTAACATTACTAGTAACTTTTTCTCTCAGTGTATTTTTTTTTCTTAAAGTTCGTACGTCGTTTTGATCAAATTACTCAAATTTTTTTTTTAAATTCGCCCTTATAAAAACTTAGCGTCGATGAGTGGCATAGCATAGTATAGTATAAACCAGGTTGCACAATGTCGTAGGTACGAGTTCCAAACTGTTGTTAAGAAGAAGACCCACCTTCATCCGTTGTTGTTAGATAGTAATTTGTGATTAATTACTACCTTTTAGATAAAGGATGTGTAAATTACAGACCAGAGCTGTCCTGGCCACGTCCTAGTATCTGGTGGGGATGGGAGAGTAATGTTAGTCCGACACTTACTTAAGAGAGATGCAGAGAACTCTACGACCCCTCATAAGTGTCTCACGGGAAGGGTGTATTTTTGTTAGTAGGGAGGGTAAGCCATAGGATACGCCCAGCCGGCGTTGCTGGCAATCGTTATATCAAGCATTTAATAAATAGAAGCTCTAAGTAGTTTATCTGTCCGTTGTTGCTGCCCATTACCTAAACATATTATTAAAAACAGTCTTCAGATTTTGGAATTAAGAAACGTTATCAGCTCAATCCTGTTGCTCCTTTCCGCCTGAAAATGTTTGTTGATCCTAAACATATGCACAATTCATTCTGATGTGTAAAAGGTTATTAATATTGTGTGGGATCGTAGATTAGAATGAAGATTCGCCCTTGGCCTAAATCCCACTGTCTGGCAGTGGTATTATGGATAAAATCTGCCTGCAATCATTACTTATGAATGCAAAGAAGCTTGAACCCGGGAGTAAGAGGGTGACAGCTCTACCGCAGCTACAATAGCCCATTTCAAGAACGCAAGCATTCCGAAGCTATTTTCACACATGTTAAGCCCCGCTCCAATACATTATCGATGCAAATATACACCAATTGATAATGTACTGAAACTTTCAATCAAGCAGTAGTGAAATACTTGATTGACGCGTATTTAGTAAGTTTTAAAGTGATCGTTTTGAATTAGATGGATATTTCCTATCGAGGACAGAGGAACGAAAAGGTAAATAAACTTATACCCTGGACAGACTATGGTTTATATCATGTAATATAGGCTGTCTTGCAATGAGCACTCATACATAGGATTTCCAGTGAAAACTAGATGTATGAGCTATATCATGTAATATAGAATGTCTTGCAATGGCAAGACATTCTATATTACATGATATAAGCCATAGTCTTAGCTGAGCGTAGCTACGCGTAGGTTAGAACAGTCGGCACCACATGCAACGGATAGGAATTTGCAAATTTTCACTTAATACCCCGTTCACATTACAGCCTATATCACGTAATGTAGGCTGTCTTGCAATGAGCACTCATACATAGGATTTCCAGCGTAAACTAGATGTATGGGTGCTCATTGCAAGACAGCCTATATCACATGATATACGCTGTAATGTGAACGGGGTATAATGCACTTTTCAACATCACTTCTGTACCTTCAAATTAACACTTTTTAAAAATGAAATTGTAAATTTATAACATTTTCACTAGAACAAAAACGACGCAGCAAAACAAAAACACGTCATTTTCGCAGAGCGGCCTACTTCGAACTCTCAACTTAGTGTCGATGAGTGGCAATATGCTAAATGTAATTTTAGGTTTCAATCAACACATGAGCAATGCTTCATCCAAATTGGGAAGGGTCGGTTCAAAACTGGCACTTTTTTGCGGTTTTGAGCGGGAAATGCTCTATTAGAAAAGTTGCGTGAGAAATCTTCATTTCCACACATCCCCAGTAACAATTTGGATTTTATGATGGTTCTGTAGACCATAATTAAGGCTTGTTGAAACTTTCATATATCCACGTCCAAATGGCTGGCTTGAGTGCACGATGGCGTAGTAGGCTTCCACTGTCACGGATTTTATCTATTTTCTGCGTGATTTTGGTGTGTACCAAACCAGCCGAATATTCAATTTCGCTGGAGTGAATCCCAAGTATCTTACTTCTTACAACGTTTTATCGCGGTGATACTCGCAGGACGCCTTAGCGTAAATTTCAAAATGTCAGTTTCCACAAAACATACAACAATGAAATTGCTGCTCTCTGTTAATAGTAGCACAGCAACCATAGAGTAGCAATTTCATGTATTTTTTGTGGAAACTGACAATTGTGCTTTTGAAATTTCACGCCAAGGCTTCCTTAGAGTATCACCTTAACATCTAATCGAGTATCGAACCTTTCGTGTCGGAGAATCATTGCCAACGCATAAAATCGCTCAGATGAAAAACGCAGAAGATGAAAAAACTTAAAGCCATACTTATAAATGGTTTTCAGGAGAGTAGAATCGTGCCGTGAAATCCTCTGCTCATTCAAGAGCATGAGAAGTCAAGCGGAGAAATGAATGAGCGTATTCAGCCGGAACAAGTTTTGAGATAAAATCTTTCTGTGGGATTTGCAATCGGACCTTACAGTTGAAGAGCTAAAACTGTTCGAAAAGCATTGGTCTGTTTTGATTAGGTCCTGTTCAGTTGTCCAATAGGTAACACCAATCTGTGCCATAGGTTTTAAAGTTTGTCAGCATATGAAGAAAACGACTGAGTCGTTTTAGAAATCAAGATCATTCTCTAGCTAATAAATCATCACACTAAAGCTTCATGTTAGCATTTCCAACCAACTCTGAAAATCGTTAACTTCGCGTATGAAGTAACATAAAAACACTTTGAATCAAACGTATAGATACATACTAGCACGAGAAGTTCCAACTATTTATTGTGACGGCATATTCCTCATATTTTCTCGACGTGAGGTCATCGTCAAGTGATGGTTCTATTTCTCATGAATGATATGTATGATACACGTGCGGAGTATAACGGTTTTAAAATTAGGTATGATCTGGTATGATTGTGTTTGGATTATACTGTGCTTCTATTCACGACAGAAAAAAACATGACCGGTCGGTACTATCATAGTACTACTATGTCATATGGGCAGTTTTATTTGAGGAGATTCTCAGCACAGGGTCAGCATCTGTCATGGACATTTTCATCTCGTGTGCAGTGATTGTTATATTGATACATTTCAACACAATTTCCTTTACATCTTTACCACTTAAAGTATTCTTCAAGCCGTCCTTCTCAAATACATTTGAAAAAAAAAATGCACTTCTTTGCTCTATTTCAGATCTATGACTTGGCGAAAGAAACGGTAGTGCTGTTGCTCGAATCCAATCCAGACATTGGCCAGCTGCTGGAGTGGGTTATCGATCGATGCTACACGGCTTGTCCTCGGGAAGCCGATGCTTGCTTTCTAACGCTAGCTATCATCTTCAGTGCCCGGTAAGTATTTTATTCTCTTTCCATTTTTCTTCGTTCACGCTGGTTGTTGCTAGCAAGAGTTCGATGGACGCTGCTTTCAATGAAGAATTGGTTCCATGTTCGAAACGAAGCATGCTGGGAGGATAAATTGAAACAATTTTCATTCCCGCTTGTGTTGAAATTTAATAGGATAAATAAGTATTATACTGCCGTTCTTCGCATGTCGGTCCCATGGCAAAAATCAGCAAGCCGAGAAAATCGCATTTTAAGCTTGATTCGTACCATTGCTTCTTATGTGATGAGACAACCAATTTGGCTGTCTTTCCAAACTTTTTCAGAACAAAGTTATTGAGTTCATCCAGTATTAAGAAAATATGGGTGATCAGCTACCATTTGCATTGTAAAACTCAGTTTTGACAAAAACTGCTATGGGACCGATATGCGAAGAGCGGCAGTATATACCCCCTATAGAAAAATAGATCTCTACCATTCTATAAGTAACATAATAACTACGTATATTTGTTAGATTTGAAGTGAGCAGTAAGTTGTAACCATGCTTTTATTTAGCGACGGATTAATATTGTGCGTAGGTAGATGATTTTTGATTCCGACAAAATTCCTACCAGTGTAGAGATTAATATTTTCAGGCAAACAACAAGAAAAACGTCATCAAGATAGCTAGACGTTATAGAAATGATGCGTTAAACACGTCCCATGAAAGAAAACAAAAGTCGAGTGCACTTTAGAGCTTCGAAAATGTAGAGCCCTGGTGGAATTAAACGTTGCATTTTTTTACATCATCCGTTGATGTACAATGGAAACCTGGAGGTTAAAAAGGTATCAGAACGAAAACTAAAACCAACGAACTTTGTTGTCACTGTGACAGTCACGCAACTGTTGTCATCAATTGATAAAAGAGTGACTAAAGTGTCACTTATCGACCCAGTAACGTGAAGTGACGGTGATAATAAAGGGTGATAGGGTCAAAATTTGGTCAATATCAACTTGACGTATTTCTTTCAATTTTGCATTTAAAAAACCTGAACACCCCTCATTTTGAAGGTGTGTGTGTGTAGAATGTTGCTCCTATTTTGATTTTGGAATTCACTCTTCAGTTGTCAAAATGCCGTCCAAGCAAGAAGAGCAGCGTATCAAAATTTTGCTCGCGCATCGCGAAAATCCGAGCTACTCGCACGCAAAGTTGACAAAATCGCTAAAAGTTGCCAAATCAACCGTTACAAATGTAATTAAAGTGTTTGGGAAACGTTTGTCGACAGCCAGGAAGTCTGGATCGGGGGGAAATCGAAAACCGGAAGCCGCTGAGACGACAAAGAGAGTTGCCGGTAGTTTCAAGCGAAACCCTAACCTCTCTCTCCGAGATGCCGCAAATAAGCTGGGTGTATCGTCTACAACCGTGCATCGAGCCAAAAAACGAGCCGGACTATCGACTTACAAGAAGGTAGTGACTCCAAATCGCGATGATAAACAAAATACGACGGCTAAAGCGCGATCCCGGAGGCTGTACACGACGATGCTGACGAAGTTTGACTGCGTGGTAATGGACGACGAAACCTACGTCAAAGCCGACTACAAGCAGCTTCCGGGACAGGAGTTTTATACGGCAAAAGGAAGGGGAAAGGTAGCAGATGTTTACAAGCACATGAAACTGTCAAAGTTCGCAAAGAAATATCTGGTTTGGCAAGCCATCTGTACCTGTGGCTTGAAAAGCAGCATTTTCATAGCTTCCGGGACTGTCAACCAAGAAATTTACGTGAAAGAGTGTTTGAATAAACGTCTGCTGCCTTTCCTGAAGAAACATGGTTGTTCCGTACTGTTTTGGCCGGATTTGGCATCTTGCCATTACGGAAAAAAGGCCAAGGCCAACAACGTGCAGGTGGTTCCCAAGGACAAGAACCCTCCCAACACGCCAGAGCTCCGCCCAATTGAGAAATACTGGGCTATTGTCAAGCGGAACCTAAAGAAGACCAAAGAAACTGCTAAGGGCGAGCAGCAGTTCAAGGCAAACTGGCTTTCTGCGGCGAAGAAGGTGGACAAGGTGGCTGTATAAAATCTGATGGCAGGGGTCAAGCGTAAGGCCCGGCAATTCGGATTTGGAAAAGCGGAAGCCTAACTGAATATTTTTCCTGAATTTTATACTAATTGAACTTGAAAAAGAAATTTAATTTGATTTTTTAAATAAACGATTTCACCGATTTACACGCGTTTTCCCTTGACCAAATTTTGACCGTATCACCCTTTAGACCTCCTGGACTGTCCCCATACTGATCCACGGTCCATCGAAAATTATCCAGAAAATTCTATTCATATGCGACTCAGCGGTTCGATACCTTGCAGAGGAACTAGTCAAAGCCCTCCGAAGCGATGGACGGATAAAGCTTAAGTCATAAAAAAAACGGAGGTGTCTCGGAACCAAATAAAAATGTTGAGTACTCAAAATGAAGTAGAGTAAAAATAGCGAGAAGAAAAATATTCCGATTGGGTTTTGATGAAATCTCAAACTTTTCTTCGAATACCACTCATCATATTTTAGACACTCTGTTGGCTAACCTGAGCGGCCGTTTTGTTCCACCGAGTCACCTTTTCACTCTTCTTCAACTTCTGTTTGACAATTGCCCAATATTTCTCAATTGGGCGGAATTGAACTTGCTGGGAACATCACTTCGACCAGTGGCTTTTTAGAACTTTTGTCCGGGAAGCTGCCCATAATCCATCTTCACGTAAGTTTCGTCGTCCATGAGGATACTTTGTAAGAACCACATTGTACAACTTCCGCGCATGTCTTTGGCCACTAGATTCTGCCTCAGTGTTTGGTTGCTTACTGGCCCGAAAAGATCGAAATCCTTCTCGCTGACAAATCCTTCTTATGGTGCTTTGGCTGGCATTGAATTTCTTGGCGATATCATAATCCGACAGCCCTGGGTTTGCCCTAACCGTTCTCAACACCTTCAAATGCAGCTTCTTATCCTTAGTTCCACTACGACGCTTGCTATGATCCTGCCGATCGTTAGTATGCCGCCCACGGAAACGTTTGAGAACACTGCACACGGTAGATTTAGCCAATTTCAACAACTTCGCGTTTTTTGAACCTGGCCACGTCGGATTTTCCAAGTGGGTGTCCAAAATTAATTTTCGGTTCGCGGCCTCCATCAAGTATAACTTCTTTTGAACAAAATAAATCGTGACGATCTTTTCAGCACTGAAAGAGGAAACACTTCAAACTGCTGTCAAAACATTCCAGATCCGACCGCTAGGAGCACTGCAGTAAAATAAACAGTGCGTCCAGATATTGGCTCAAGCTTTAGACGTCGTGTACGAATTCCATTCGGTAGATGTGGGAATACCATCTGTTACAATACATTCACAATCCTAATTAATGTTTTCCCACCAGACAGCACCAGCAAAAAGTAACAGTAGCAGTAACAAAAATATAAATACTGTTATTTTATAAGGTGTCCTTTTTTGTTCTGCCGTATGCGTGTAATGTTTGCATCATTAAGCAATGTCAAAATTAAAAAAATTCTCAAAAATTTCGTTTTCGGGTTTTTTTTATTTATTCAAAGGGAGGATGTTTCTCAGAGTCTTAAACTATGTTAATCATCGATCGAGTTTCCACTTGCTGCAATTACGGCCTCCACACGCTTCCGGAATGCACGGCAGGTTCTAATAATGTAGTCTGTATCCATTTCTCTCCAGGTACGAGTCATGTTTGTCTGAGGCTTGCTGTACTCGGGTGGCGTTTAGAACAGGCCTTGGCCTTCATGACGCGCCATATTGAGTAATCCAGTAGATAAAGATCGGGGCTTGATGGCGGCCACATATCCTTCGCCCAGAACGGAAGATGTTCCTGCAACCATTTCTGAGTGCGGTTCGAGGTGTGGCACGGAGCCCCATCTTGTTGAAATACAACATTTGGCTTCGGACCGTACTGTTCTTTGATCCACGAAAGAACATACTTACCTAAAATCCCGATGTAGACCTCCGTGTTGACCTTGTCGCCTTCTGGAATGAACACCGGGTCCATTTTTTTTGCCAAACACCATAACGCTAGCAGGATGCTTGGTCAGATACACGTTCTTGTGCTCGTCGGCCACGTATTTTACCGGAAGAGAACTAATATACCGGTTGGTTCTAGAATTTGATACGGGATCGATGGTAAACATGCTCTCGTCGGTGAACAGGATAACCGGATTTTTTTTTCGTTTAAGGAAGTTCAGTTTTTCGTGCATCGTTCGACTCGTAGCTCCCGGATGCGGTTGGTAATCATGTGATTTTTTTCCGTGCCCTAGACTTCGCCCCGTAATCTTCCTTTACGATCTTCCGTGCCGAAAAGTCACTGATCCCGTGTTCCTTTGCCATTTTCCTTATTGAACGCACTGGATTCACCCGAATCTTCCTTATGCGATAACCCTCGGAACCCGAGCTGATCTCGGACGACCTGCGGCCACCTTCGTGGATAGTTGTCCTCTCTTTTCTCGGTCTAAAACCCTTTTGTCGGTCCACCGGGACACTCCCACGGCGATTGAAATGTCTTTTTGCGACATTTGCGCGTGGGACAAATCACGAATACGCTGCCACTTCGTCATGGTGCAACTGTCAAACTAAGTAAATCATTTTCTTTTATACACAGCCTACTACGGTTTGAGCTATAGGTTACGTGCATGCAAAGAAAACCAAGACATTGTATGCACAGGTGAAACGGGAACCTTATTTGTACGATGGTGCAGACATTATCACGTATACGGTAGATCAGTGATGAACAATGTATGGCTTGCGGGTCGCACGTGGTGCTTGGATCTCTGTGACGCAACAACCTCAGCATGATTTTTTGCATTAAATACAAATGATTGTGAATCACACAATATTCAACTTAAAATATGACCATCGATCAAAGAGATACAGTCATTGGAAAAAAGGGATGAGCACCGCTCTTTAAGTTTTGAAAAAAAAAAAAAAATCTTTTTTTTCAATTTTACTAAGAATTAATTTAAACCAAACTTGGC